ACTCTTTCCTGAACGGGTGAAAGACTTTTTCTATGGACACTCCAGTTCAGCAACGTGATAATTTCAACGCGGCTTTAGAAAGCCGGTACAGTGGAGACCATGTGGTCGTTTTCCCAGGAGAATACAAGGCTGTAAACTTATCCCTGTTAACTAAAGACATTATTATTGGACCTTAGCATTGTATTCTCTTACAATTTACCTCTGTCTTTATGAACCATAGCTCAAAAGCAGTCCTGATTAACGGTAGGGAAAAGTATGTTTACCAGAGCTTTTAACGGGATTAAAAATTTCCAGTGTGAAAATAAACAGTGGAATGTAATTTGTTAGCTGCTACCTAGGGAAAAAATACTGTGCAACTGGAATACAGTATAGCAGGAATTCAGTGAAAAATTAGTTTCATAAAACATATGTATATATAAAATATACATATTTTAAGGCAGCATCAAGTTAAGCAGCACCTCTAAAGTAGGCAGGTCCTCTTCCTTGATGGCTCTTGAAAAGTGTGATTTGTTTTTTGTCTTTTTGTTTTGTTTTTGGTTTTTTTTTTTATAGGAATACCAACATCAGCACTGCATTTAACTCTCCCATAAGGTGACAGGTTTAATAAGAAATTAGCATCAGCAAACTTTCCAGCCGTGCTTCAGCAAATCACACCTTGCAGATTTAAAGCCTGCAAGCACCGTTTATCTAAATGCACACGTTTGCTTGTTCAGGTTGATGCCTACACCGTCGTATGGTCTCACATCTTGTAAAATACAGCATAGAGTTCCAAGTTTATCTTTTACTCCATCAATTTTTTATGCTTTTTAGTATCCTGCAAACAATGCAAAAGCGCTCCTTCAGCTGCCCCTCCATTCTAGCGTGCTGTTTTAATGCGCATTACCTCCAGGGGAGAACAGTCACTGAAAGACATCCTGCTAAAGCTGGCCCTTCTGCGACACCAAGGCTTATGCTAACCAGTAAGGCAAAGCTCCCAGCAGAAATACAGAGAAACTGAAGCTATTTCTTGCACCTCAGCCTTTTAGCCCCTTTTCCTGCCCAGACATGGGCACGCTTAAAATGCGCGTGCTTCACCAACACTAAGGCAGCATCTCTTGCTTCTTTAAATGACCTTCTCATCCTTCTAGACCCAATCTGCTTTTAAAAACCAGTGCCTCATGCAAGCTACGGGTGAGGACTTTTCATTTAGCTTATTTTAAGGATGCCTTAATGCAGCTGTCTGTTACCAAACAGGTTTCAGAGCTCTTGACAGTGTTGGGAGAAAAGCACCAGGAGGCTAGGGAGCGGGCAACGGGGAGATTTGGAATGAGGCAATAGAAAATGTCAGTGAATCTCGGAGCTGGTGCGTGCCAGTGAAGCGTGCCTTTCTGCTGCAGACAGCAAAGCCATGCCCTTCAACAGACGACATCCGAACTGCCAGAGTGCTTGTAGGCAGCCATCTTCAGGTCCTTCTCCTGTCAAAGCTCCGGGTGAGCTTCTGAATAGAAGCGTTCATCTCTTCATCTTTTTTTGCTGTTTTTAAACTCGTATTGTGTCTCTTTTTCAGAGACAGGTAAGGCATCGCTATCTTGCACGCTAAGCCACCCACCTCGATGGATTTGTATTATTTGTGACATTGGCTTTCCTCTGGCTGGCATTCCTCACCCCATTTTTGGTTTGGAGGCAGGAAAAGAGATCAATTAGATAATTGCAACACTAATTTGGTCAGTTTTCTTAGGAACAAATTCAGCATGGCCACACTTTTAACACATGCTCTAAAGATCAAGCACAAATGTTTCTAAGTAACTTCACAGAAAGAACCTTCCTATAAAGAAACTGCTTAAGAGCAGATTTCCTTTCAAGAGAAGGACTCACCCTCCTTGGAGATGGTGGTCTTGAGATCAGTGGGATACCATCAATGCTGATGCCACAACTGACCACTTAGTTTTCCTTTAAACTTTCTCCAAGTCAAGATCATAGCATAGCATAGTTCTGTGGAATTTTTCTCCATTGGTGGAAATCTCCCTACGGCTAGAGACATTTTTCAAATCTTACCCTGGAGTACGTTATAGAATCATAGAATCGTTAAGGTTGGAAAAGACCCTTAAGATCATCGAGTCCAACCATTAACCTAACACTGCCAAGTCCACCACTAAACCATGTCCTCAAGACGTCTGCCCTTCTTTTAAATCCCTCCAGGGATGGAGACTCAACCACTTCCCTGGGCAGCCTGTTCCAGTGCCTGACTGCCCTTTCGGTGAAGAAGTTTTTCCTAATATCCAACCTAAACTTCCCTTGGCATAGCTTGAGGCCGTTTCCTCTCGTCCTATCACTTGTTACGAGGGAGAAGAGACCGACCCCCACCTCGCTACAGCCTCCTTTCAGGTAGCTGTAGAGAGCAATAAGGTCTGCCCTCAGCCTCCTCTTCTCCAGGCTAAACAACCCCAGCTCCCTCAGCCGCTCCTCATAAGACTTGTGCTCTAGACCCTTCACCAGCTTCGTTGCCCTCCTCTGGACACGCTCCAGCACCTCCATGTCCTTCTTGTAGTGAGGGGCCCAAAACTGAACACAGCACTCGAGGTGCAGCCTCACCAGTGCAGAGTACAGGGGCACTATCACCTCCCTGGTCCTGCTGGCCACGCTATTCCTGATGCAAGCCAGGATGCCATTGGCCCTCTTGGCCACCTGAGCACACTGCTGGCTCATGTTCAGGCAGCTGTCGACCAACACCCCCAGGTCCTTTTCTGCCAGACAGCTCTCCAGCCACTCCTCCCCAAGCCTATGTCACGTGCTGCCTGAGTACTGCCGGGTAGATGAGATCAATCTTCTAGATATTTACTCTAACAGAGCAACAAAAGGCGGACGCTCAGCCTTCCTCTGACTGACTCTAAATATCACCTCAAAGACAAAAGTGAACGTGCTGTGCAGAGATACACAATCCAGGCCTTTGTGGTTTGTGTTCTGCTCACCAGGCTTTTGAAACTGAGCAGCCAGTTTGCATGAACGGCGTTTCTGTTTTGTTTAATGCAGCATGGTGCATGCAATCAGGCAGGCAAGCAGGAGGTCCAGAAATTAAGATAAGAAGTGTGTTTAATGGCAACTTTGTAACTTGTTGGTAGCATTAATATTTATGTGAGAAGTTTTAAAACCAGCAAGCTAAAAATTCAAGTAACCAACGGACAAGTGTTATCCTTCACATTATGATTTTGACACTATTGTCAATATTACTCTTCCCCTTTTTCACGTGGAACTGGAAAACCAGAAGAACCCGTGATTATTTCCAAACCCCCTTATGAGATTTGTGGTATCAAAAGCCCAAGATACAAACCTAACGCACCTGAGGTCGGTACAGCAGAGAATAGTCAACGGTGTCGTGGCTGCCGAATCCGGGCAGGTGACTATAGCAAATTGTGTACGAAGGTGTGAAGGAACTGGCATCTGCGCTCACTGGGGCTTCTCTGACCATCACGGATAGCGAGATTACTGGAGCTCAGGTAGTTTGTTCTTGTTGAATTTCAGATCATTAAATTTGTTGGACAAGAGACGGGAGTGCTCTGACAAGCTGGCTTTTTTAAACAAAGCACAGATCAATTTACTGACACAGTAAACTCATGACAAGCTCAGCTTTTACTGTGAAAACGTACATGTCATTTCAGGTTAATTTTCAGTTTTCTGTACCCAGGCTGTTTAAGCTCCTCATTAGCATGTCAATCCTTGTTTAGACTGTGCTATTCATTTCTGGCACGGGAAGTGTAGGCAAGGATTATTGCTTTCCCACTTAACTTGCCCTGATGGATTAGATACTAAAAAACAGACTGAATGTTGTTAAGCAGTATTTTCATGCTTGACGCTCCTTAGTATGTAAAACACTAGCACATAGATAAAACCAACTAAGCCGTAATTTGTAGATGCTAAATAGTCCATGGCACCTTCCCCCTTCACAACCTGCGACCTGAGCAGTCCCCAGGACTGGGTATCCTTGCAAGCTCCATCCCAGCAGCAACTCCCGACGCAGGCTTGTGACCTACACAATTTCATACGTTATTACACCAGGCTGTATTCTTAAGTGCCAATTAATTTTTTTAACAATTCTTACAAGCAACATGAAATTAGGTATAACCTTTTTGTTAACGAACGGGGCGCTGGTGTTGGGCAGTAGCCAAGAAGCACAGCCATCTTAGAGAGTGACAAAATTCATCACCGCAATAGTACCAGAACCAGTGAGACCTCACATCATAGCCAGGGCAGCATTGAAGTTAAGGTAACATTTTTTGTTCTTTTTCCAGTAATAGTAAATAATAGCTTTATGGTTACAAATTAGAATAATTTTTGTAAATAGGCCTGAGAAACATCAACTTCACTCTTAAAAGGGAATTTCTTTAGCTAGGACTTAACATCAAAGTACCCCCAGTAAAACCATTTTTAGCTAGTATCATAGCATATTGTACATATACTTGATAATCCCTGGTATCCTATTCCACCTCCTAAAACTTACGAAATTAGAAGCAGGGAAAAGCTAACGGTAATTACGTAGTTGAAAGCAGACTGTGGCGAAGGCCCCGCTACACCTGAAGACCTGATCAGAACAAAACCTTAACTGAAATAGCAGGACTCGGTCATGGAAACGCCAGCGAAGCTGCTCTCCAGGGGGAGGCCAGCTCACTAGAATTCATCTGAATTTTTCCCAGTATCGCCAGCTCTGTTTCTGCACACGTACAGACTGCGGTAGTGCTGAACAGCTGAACAGCCTATAGCTGTAGGGTCCTTAAAACTCTGGCCTGTGCTCACCTTGCACCCATCCCTCCTGCCTCCTGTTGAAATGCTGACTTCTTTTGAAGACCAGGAACAGCTAGAGGAAATTAGACAGCTTTAACAGATATTAGATCATATGCAAGATCTGTAGGCTTGATACTGAAATTAGTAAGTATAGTTCTTTTTAAAACCACTGGACATCTGCTTCACGTTTCCAGTTTTGTGTTAGTAACACAACGGGGATGACACAATGTTTGAGGGGCAAACCAAGAAAAGCAAGTTTTATCTGGATGCAATAAATACAGATGTGGAAAGGGAAGGTGGCTAACACTATAGCACACCTTTCAGTGTCCAGTCCTTCTGACTCCCTAACAGGTTGTTCCTGGAGAAGAAAAATAATCGCATTTTCAGTAATGGTGGCACCATTACTGAAGAGTAACCATTCTTCAGTCTACAGAAAAGTCTACATCAGCAGAGAGGACTGTGGAGTTTACTGCATCAGATGATGCAGAGGAAGATACACACTCCAAATTAATCCCAGATTTAAGTTTGGAGATGAACAGTGATACACGTGATGATATCAAAGATAGCTCTCTAATTCATAGCTGGATATCTAAGCTTCATGTGGCATTTGGCTTTTAGCAGTTTTGATTAAAGGAACAGTGCTTCACCCTCACCTAGTTTTTAAGAACTCTTCATTAGAAATACAAAAAATGTTGGTCTTGCTTTAAACTTCACTCAAACACCAACATCTCCCACAGCCCTGTAAGCGCAACTAATTACTGGTTCTGAATAAGCTTTCCAGTTGGATTAGTGGGGAGGTGGGGAGGTTAATCTCGCCAGGATTGGTAACATAACAGGTTTCATACTGAGCTGTGCCCACAGACGTGTCCCTGTGCTGCTGGGACCCTGCAGTGCAACGTGTGTGCGAGAGGCGGTACCTGCCTGCTGCTGCCTCAGGGCAGCACAGCTGGTTGCGTGGCCATGCTGTAATAGAGGTAAGGGAGTTTTGGCCAAAAAAAAAAACCCCAAAACCATTCATACACACGCATTCATTGTAAACTGGAATGCTTCCCTCATCTTGTTCACACAGGTGTTCCTGCACAACACGGCCAACTGAGGAAAACCCTTGAGAGTACTCTGTACCTGCGGGTACCCCGTGTCATCCACCCCTGCTCCAGGTCACTTCCCAGGTGGTAGTCTGAGAGGTACAGAGGAAACCACACCTCGCTGGAGGGCTTTTTATCCCCTATGTGTCGATGTACTTCTGCAAGCACCAGGCAGCCAGCTGAGCTTTGAATGTCCGGAATCCACAGGCTACCATTCAAATGAATTCTAATGAAAGAATTGCTCTCTTTCACATGTATTTGGAAGGAAGCACGACTATTTTGGAGTAGCAATGTAAATGAATACCGCCTCAGATGAAGGGCACAGTTCACGCTTCTGAGATCGCTTCAGGTTCTGCAAAGACAGGCGGCGTCACACCAGTCTTGTAAAAGGTATTCCATGTCCCCGCAGTATCTGAATCGGCAAAAGAGCTCATCAGCTGCCGTGCCGCGAGGTGTAACATGGCATGCAGCAGGCCAGTGGCTGGCTGCAAGGGAACCAAGTGCTGCCTGGCACAGACAGAAAACCACCGCAGAGAGGGCTATTTGCACAGTTTATTAGACAACAAAGAAAAATCCCCACTGAGCCCAAGTTCTGTAATTTGAAATTTGTTTGGCAGAGAATGGTTTTAGACAATGAAAAGGTTTCCTCAGAATGCCTTATACCTCCCCTACAACCAAAACTAACAACAGCTGGCTTCAAAATCCAAATCCAAAATTAAATGTATAGCATATAAGTCTTTAAAAACAAACTCAATATTTATTAAGAATAAAATCATACAACTTGCAGTAAATTCCCTAAGGGTATGATATATTACAGAGCTGTACTTGTACTAAGGAACTGAAATGGCAAACAGACTGGTAAGGGCAAGAAAGGGATTCAGGAGAGGAACACGCTTTTGTCAAAGCAGAAAGACTTCACTGAACTCCCATAACTACCACCTGCCCCTCCCCGGATCCCCACAGCCTCCTCTGTAGCCACCGCCTGCTCCTCGATACCCTCCTCCTCGATAGCCTCCCCCCCAGCTACCTTGGTATCCTCTTCCTCCTGAGCACCTGCCGGAGTAGCTGTAGCCACCGTACCCTCTACCTCTGTAGCCAGAGCCACGCGGGAAACCTCCCCAGCCCCTGAGGACGCCTCCATTGTCCTGGGCCCGCCTCCATTGTCGTAGCGAGCCATTTTGGGGGGGCGAGGACCATCGCCGAACCTGGGAAAAGAGAAATATTATGTATCTACTGCAATCTTACGGATTCCTTTTTTTTTTTTTTTAAATATTCAGAAGATTAATCAATTGCCATGATACTCGGTTAAGATGCCTCTATTTTCTGGTAACAGAATATGATGTTTGAATTAGTTGCACTTTTGCACCTTTTCTACTTCAGTAAAGAAAATGGCCTGCCATGCCACATAAGCAGTTCCTCCTCTAAATCTCAGCCAGGTCTACACCTGGGATAGAAAGTTTTCCCCTCAATCCCACTTCTCCAGCTCACACAAATGCGTAGGGAGCCCCATTCCTGTTTATGGGAGCACAGTGATCTTTATTTTGCTCCTCGCAAAACGAAGTGAAGTGTACATCTAAGCTGTTCTTTGTTTTGATCCTTAAATTACTAACAGCTCACAGGTGTTTTCATTTTCCTTTGCTTCAGAAGCAAGACATGAAAACAATGGGCAACAGAGGGGTGCAAGCACAGCCAAATATTTGTTTTGTTTCCAGAGACAGAGATGAATAGGTTTGCCCAAAATAAATTTGGATTATCTTTTCTTTAAAAGTCATTGTGTTTTGGAAGAAGCGATGACAGCTTTTATTCCTGAGAGCCGCTTGTCCTTCCTGTGGAAACAGGCAGTGATCTGTCTACATCAGACTTTGAACATGACAATTTTACATACGCTCAGACTACTGATTTTGTAGCAAAAGCCCGAAGCTCCCATCCACACGGGACAAGACTCTGCTGGTGATTTTAGCTCTGGGCTTCAGCAGCCACCGTGCAGGGAGGGAGCAGTGGAGCGGACAGCTCTGACCTGCTCTGTTCAGGCTCTTCGTGTCCTTGGGGCAGAGGTGGTGAGTGCTCCTCGCCCCAGAGCTCCAACTGCACGAGCCAAGGGAGCCGAGCTAACCTTGCATTGGCAGCCATGAGGCTGATGCCCGCGGCTGATGGCCTGGAGATCTGACGGATCACATTCAGCATTCGCTCATTTGCTGGGTCCAGCTGCCGAATGATCTCAGGATCTTTAGTCACTTCTACAACAAGAGCCTCCATCGCAGCACGCAGAGCAGTGATGCAAGCCGCCGCGTTGTGGGGCATCTTCAGCTTGATCCTAGAGCAGAAATAATTACATTAGATGTTCTACAACTTCTAGCAGAGAACCTGTTATGAAAGATGTTCTGTGGAGTGGTTTTTCATTGCATGCTGCACACACTGAGCCAGAAATCTACATTCTCATCTTTTAAATTCCAATTTGTTAATGAAAGGACATGAAATTCAGGAGGCAAATTTGCCAGATCCCTAAAATTTGACATTGTTAAAACCTAACTATCCTTCTGTTTAAATTTGCTCTTGAGATTGAACATACTCAGATAACACCAATATGTAACCCCGGCATCAGAACAGAAAGATACAAAATATCAAGTAAACTAAAACCATGAGGCTCCTCAAGACTTTGAAAGCTCCAGGCCACCCTCAAAAATATTAGTGAATTAAGCTTAAGCAAATCTTCACCTTCATTTTACTGACCGGGGTGGGGCGGGGGGAGCGGGGGGGGGGGGGGGGGAGGGAGAGGGGGAGGAAGATATCCAGATGGTATTGAGTCATGGCCATAAAATGTAGGCTGCCAGAGGCAACCACCAAATCCGTAGCATTTCTCTCCTCAAGCTATGTTTTTGAGACTTAAAAACAAGGTTCCCTCGGCCCCTCTCTGAAGGGGAGGTACAAAATACATAGTACCTCTTATTCATGTTCCAGTTAAAGGGGAAAAAACCAGCAGTTTTTATGGAAACTGCCTGGTATCATGTTTTCAATTTAAGCAGATAATCTGCATGAAATAATGCTGCCAATACAAACTCCTCCCTTCCTCATAGGAAACAAAGGTAATGCCTTCACAATTAACCTGTAGTGCAGGGCTTGCGCTAGGGTTCTGTTCTATAGAGATTTACGCCTGCCTTAGCAGCCACTCCCCCGCAGTCTGTGTTCTTTCATAGACCTGAATATTATGAGCACCAAGGAGGTCCGTACCAGTCGTCTACCAGAACGACCTCCCCATCCGACAGGACTTTCTTAGAGGCAAAGAGAAGCAGCTGCAGCGGGCTCACCAAGGTCATTGCTTTGGCAGAGATGGCTCGTGTTCGAATCTGCAGGTGGAAGAAGAATATGACTCTTGAAATGGAAAATAGATCCCTACACCTTCCTCTGGCCACTGAAACCAGAGAATTCTGTAAAAACACCACCACAAAAAAATCTAGGTATAGCGTTACGAAATTACAGGAGCACACACACATACAAAATTGAATGCTAGGCAGACGTTTACAGGGATTCAGCACTGGCTGGTGTAAAAAAAAAAAACCCAAAACTACCTGCCATTTAAAAGTATGAATTTTTCCATGACTGCATGTCTGCAATTATGCAGCTGACATTTTGCAAGAGCCATCTCAAGCTTGGCCAACATAAAAATGACCAAGGTATAGCTGAATTATCTTCCCACCTTTTGCATTGCTGGGGCTGTGATGAAAAGCTCATAGCTTCTTTAGTAGGGTCCTACACATCCAAATTTGGAAGCTGCTACACGTCCGTGCAACCAGCCTGCTTTGTCATTCTACAGACCTTCAGCTTGTACTTGAAGTGAGCACTTGGGCAATAACAAGCCATCTGACCTGAGCCAGAGATAACAGCACTGACTGCATGGGCTATTGCCCTTCATTTTAAAGAGGAACTTAAGAGCCCCACCCTGACAGCTGCCTCTCTCCCCTTTTCTTTCACACAGGAGCACGATGGAGCGTGATGGGCAGGATTCGTTGTACTTGCTTGTCCTCAGGGAGAAGATTTGCTTCTGCCTGGAAGATATCACACATACTCAAAAGAGAGAAGCTGCCAGAAGCTGGAAATTGTGGCCAAAAAATGGCCACAGTGAGGAGTGTTGAACTTGCAGGTCAGAGAGAGACTGCCAAGTGCAGCAGGAAACAGACAACCAGACCTCAGAGAGAAACTTTCTTTTAGCAAGTACATACTGGGTAGGGAGAGAGCTGCATATGAATCCTTCCTTCACCCCAGTCTCACCCAGGTGCTCTCTTAGCCACTCTTACACCACCATCTTAGTCACTCTTAGTTTCCCATGCGTACTTTGATTTAATAAAGAATAGCTTTTTGAGTTCAAAAGTCTTTTGGTGTTTTTAGGTGAGCTCACTTCACAGAGATGGTCGAGGCAGATCAAAGGTCTGACCCACTTGGCATCCTGTCATAAAGGGTGAAGAACAGGCGAAGCCTCACCACAGCTCTGAACTACGTATGTGGAAGTCCCGAGCGTCAAGCCAGTGCCCAAAGGAG